GTTATTTGTCTAAAAAAAGGAAAGAAAGCAGGAGTTTGGATGTTTTCAGGCAGCATCAGGGCCTGCAGTGAGCTGCAGCTTTAAAACCAGTCTGATCCCAGCTGGAGCGCAGCTCCGCCTCTGTGGAAACACGTCCTGCCCAAAGTTTGGACCGAACAGGAGGAAACTTTTCTCTCCCTCTCAGGAGACAGTGAGCGGTGGAGATTTCTCCTGCAGCAAAAACCATGAAGTTCTCCTGAAACGAAGCTGACAGAAGCCTGAACGTCTCCGGACGCACAGGAGAGGAAACTTTCAGCGCTTTTTTTTAGTTAGTTTTTTTTGCTGTTGTGGGTGACTTTTGTGTGTGGATGTGGGGGGGTGAGTGAGTTGGGGGGGCCGGACGACAGATTCCAGTGTGGAGGACCAGATATGAGTTTCGTTACATTTACAAATATGCCAACTGGAGTCAGCGGGAGAACGCTGCGTTTTGCTGCTGATTTTAACAGCTAACGCACTTTCCCAACATAAAGTTCCCACTTTAAAAAAAAAAAAAAATGGCTCCAGGCAACTTTTACTGAGTGGCGTCGAGATTTCCTGCTGCGCGTCAACAGTTCGGGGTTTGGCTTTAAAGAAAAGTTTCTGAACATTTTAACACTTTTTAAAAAAAGTTCACTGCTTCTTGTTCAGCTTTGAGAAAGAAAAAATGGATCCGAGCCAGCACAACCCTCCTGCCGGACACCAGATCGTCCACGTACGGGGAGACTCCGAAACGGACCTGGAGACGCTTTTTAACATCGTGATGAACCCGAACAGCCCGAATATCCCCCACTGTGTCCCCATGAGGCAGAGGAAGCTGCCGGACTCCTTCTTCAACCCCCCAGAGCCCAAGTCCCACTCCAGACAAGTAAGCCCGCCCTGTTTCTTCCTTCTGACGAACCCGAACCGGGCCCGTCCTGTTTGGGTTCAAGCTTTCATCTTTTTCACTCTTCAAATTTCTCTATTTTACTCCTGTGTGAACAAATCAACTATTTATTTAGTTTTCAGGATGTTATGACTCACTAAAGGAAACGCTTCTAGAAATGTGTCCAAATAACTGAATCTGTAGCTAAAAGTCCGAATTTAACCTCCGTTTGTCGCGTTTAATGAAACAAAGTAAAGTTAGTGTGTTTGTGTGTGTTTGTGTTTTTTTCCTACACTGAAGAAATCTTTCTGGATTAGGCTGATCCACGGAAACTTGTGGTTTCCTGTAAGGAGAGTTTGTCAGAACCTGTTGAAAAGAAAAGTTTTCTTCGTTGATCAGATTTATAGAAGGAAAAGATCAAATGATTACAGCAAATAAAAATTAATTAAACTTTTCAACTTTTTTATTATTAAACTAAGATTCTCTTTAGTTAGAAAAAAAAAAAAGGGGGGAAAGTTACTG